CTCTACCGTTAAGCGATTCCAGGGCCAAGAAAAGTGGGCCAATCGGTGTTGAATATCGACGAGAACAGGGTGAGAACTAACCTATCCTCTATTTCCATCCAGTTTTTCTGGATCCCTGGCCACGGACTTGGCTGCAGTGTAAGCGAGCTCGTTCCCGTGAATACCGACGTCTGCTCTGGTGGAGTCACGGCCATGCCTGTCCTGTACATGAACTACGGTCCTGTCTTCAAGGCGCGGCTTCGTGCCCGTTGGCAGTCGACTTGGGGTGAACAATGTCATAACAAGCTTTTCCAGATCAAACTTTCTGTTGGTCTTTGGCCGTCTTGCTTCTATAAGGATCGGAAGGAGGAAGTTGTCTTGACAAGGCTACGCATTGGCCACAGTTTTTTAACCCATCGTTTTCTTTTATCCGGTATTGACCCACCAAGAAGATTGGTTAAAATAAAGCAAGATCTAATCCATGTAACAATAATAAATTAATTTACTTATTCTATAACTTTTGCTGCAGACTTTGTTAACTTTAACATAAGTTGTAAGTCTAGGTTCACAAACAATATTTTCATTTTCAACAAAAGTCATGATACTAATGTTATGTAAGCCTAATAGACAAATATGAAACTTAATTTCCTTGCTAATGGATTGAGTGACTGAAAAGATGTGATAATTCTTACTTTCTAACACTGAAGGAACTCATTTAATCTTCACACACTGATTTCTCCTATTGATAATGTATTTTGATTTCTTCAAACTCCATGAGATTTATAGATTATTGCATCATCATAAATTTTCTAGGACTATTTTTGTGGTCTAGATATAACATCATCATCATCATCACAATTAGCAGCCTTCCTCTAGCAAACAACCAAATTATAGCATTTATACTAGATGTATTCCCACAGGGTCCCAGAAAGTGTTCTGCTTCAAGATTAAATAAAACCAAAATTAAGAGTAACAAGTATTTTTATTTCTTGCTTTTGAAGTTCATACGTCATGCTGTATTGTAGCCTACAGAGTGCATAATTTTTCTTGTGATTCATGGCATGCACACATTTTACTGACATCCCGAAAGTACCAATTACACCATTAAGTGTTCCTTATGTGGTGCCTTTTTAGTGTCTGCTGAAGGACTGACAAACAGCACACTACTGTACAGTGATGAAATTGGTTAAAACAGGTGACGCCTCCAGACAGCCTTCAGACCCTTTTCAGGGAAAATATAGCTTGCTATGATAAAATGTTTATTCCATCATGTATACATTTAGATAATATTACTATAGGTTTGTATAAGATTGTATAAGATTCTAAAGATGTGTTTCTGGATTTTGTCATTTGAGCAGGTGATAGACCTCTGATTGTACAGTTTGCTGCCAACAATGCTACAGATCTTGCTGATGCAGCTGAGCTAGTTGCTCCGTAAGTAATATTGTTCCATAACCATAATTTGGAAATATCCAATGTACAACTATGCAACTGTTATGGCTAATTTTGATTTTTTAATTTACCTTGTCTTTTTCTTTACTTTTATCTATATAATTTCTGCAAAAAAAAAAGTTTTGTTATTACTTAGTTATAAGAGGCAAAGTTCTTACCATACATTATTTCATTCCTGGTATTTAAAAAAGGTGAAGAGTACTTACATGCTGCATAGACAGGGTTTATGGTACCTTAGAGTCCTTGAAATGATCATAAATCAGGGGACAAAATATCTGGGTTCACATTGTAATTTGCAAATCAAAACAATCCCAGTTGTGAATCATTTTCCTCTTTGCTTAACATAAAGTGTGAATCATTCCGTTCTTTTGTATGTTGTCTTCGAGACCTCCAACAACACGCAGTGAAAGTTCTGAATATTTCAGTTTGATATACCAAAGCTATTGTTCATTTCTCCTAAATTCCCTCCAAATGGCACATACAGTATTTTCACACTTTGTCATGTGCATATTGCATACACATACACTTTGTATTAGTCTAATAATGGCTGGAGACGGCTTGAATGGGTAATGAAGAAAAACTTTAATATAAGTTTAACATAACAGCAAATGTACAACGTTTCGACAAAGGTTTTTCCTGGTGCTGACTAAAACCTTTCGAAATG